AGCTTTGGAGCCCTGGCGTAATGTTCTGGGCCTGGTGGATACTTTCGAAGAGTCGCGATCAGTTTTTGGGGGGGGCGTTCGAGCGTACCTAGTTTAGCCCTTCTCCTTTTTCACGCACCTCCTTGAGTCTCTGCCGCTTCCACAAGCTTCTTCTTGAGCTACTGGAAGTTTGTACAAGCGAGCTTGCTCTTTCAACTCAGATCTATGAGCTTTTAGAGTTGTATATCATCTCTCTCACGCTCTTCTTATAGCCCTACGCTCCCTGGCTTGCTGAACTTACCTTGGCGACCAGAAAACAGCTCCTCCGTGATAGTTATCCTGGTTATTTCGGAGATGTAAGGAGTCGCTCTTCTTCTTTTACTTCTCCAGGGTACTCAGGGCCTCCTTTAGTCGCTTCATCTCCACGCGGAGTAGCTATTTTTCGGTGATAGCAATCGATAAGAATCAAGCCAGCTTGACTTGCTTGTTGACATCTCTGCTGAGTTGTGACAACATGATGCTGTATTCTCGTTGGCTACTGAATGGTCGGAACAACGCGTAATTTGTGCCTGAGAGCAATCATCAGGGAGATACGAACGTTTTGATGATGCCTACACGCCCCGGTAGTTAGATCTCCTAGTCCGAAGGTCACGTCTTGCTTCTGTCATCTCTTCGCCAATTAGATTTCAGATCGAACAAAGAGCTGTCAATCCAGCAAATCAAAGATAGGTGGCAAAGAACATGACTCTTGGACTACTCGGGCGCATGAGTAGCTTCTGCCTGATCCTTTAGTCAACAACCAACGCTATCCCCAGTCCACGTTCGGCGGCATAAAATTCCAGGCAACATAGAAATATCAATACTGATATTACCATAGACTTCCAGCTAATAATGGGTCACGGGGGTAGCGGTCAGGGACTAGCGAGTGGTGTTCGAACTGGTGACGACACTACGTGACCCGTTATTCACTGGAAAGCCTGTGCTAGTAACGCAATCCGCCTCTCCCATACAAATTTAGGCGAGGCTAGGGGATCCTAAAGCCTTTGCTCTTTTACGGATAAGCAAAGGAGGGAAAGGTCTTCCAGGAACGACTGATATGGTTTTAGTTATCTATTCAATTCTCTGCGCAGGAGCTAAATAAATAGAGCTGTCGGATCGTGAGTATCGGTAAGGACGTCGGCTGCTCAACACTTCGGCCCGACTTCGGCACAACTTGCGCTGAGCTTAGGTGTACCTTCGTAGAACCTATGTTCGTAGATAATCAATACCAATACTAGTTACCAGAAGAACCTCGTTGTTGTTATTCACCCGTACGATCGTACAAGGCCTACCAACAAGAGCTAAATTTAACTAAAATGACTAGAACTGAATCCAACTGAAAGGCCAAGCTACAAACAACCAAAATACCTTGAAAATTCTAAGTAGTGCATTCGATATCAGTTGGGGATGCAGTCGTAGAAACAACCAAGTCATACAAATACAGGCTTTGAGAATGGGCTTTAAGTCTTGCCTTCCCAGATGTATCCTTCAGAACTGTAAATGCAGCTTGACCACTGCCACAACGGTTAGTTCTGGTATCAGAATTAGAATTCAAGATGTGAGACAAATACTTACTACGCTTGTGAACAGTTACCCGGCGTGTAGGTTGTCTGAATTACGATATCTGCAACAATAGTTTTGTTATCTGCCGTTTCGTCTCGGACCGAAGTTCCGTTGATAAGGTGCTAGAGAAAGGTGTTAGAAATCGCTTCAACATATTGCAGCAGCATTGAAAGAAATCAACTTTACGTACCCACCAGGCCTTGTTCCCATCTTTTGGAAGAAGGTTTTGCTTCACGGCCAGCATCTTCGTATAGCCCTGATAGCTGTTTCCTGCAATACGCAATGTGCCATCGGTAGTCCAGAAATTTGTAAATGTGTCTGCAGCGGCCTTGTCTTCAGATGTCTTGTAGTATCTAGTCGTGTCAATATTTGCGTCAAGCAAGATATTTATCATTTGGTACACACTCTTCAACAAAGTATTTAAATGCAGCATCCACACCACTTCCGGCTTTGTAATGAGTCATGCTAACCGCAAAAGTTACAGGAACTAATGCAAAAAGCAATGTGAACGAAGCCATAGAACTATGCATTTTGATATTGTATAGCGTTGTCGATTTAACGAAGGAAGGTAGTAAAACAAGTGTAGTAATAAGCTTTTAGACGAGAATGGAAAGGTAGCCAAAGACAACTAATGATGTACAGGATTCGTTGACCGCAAGACGATATATATATGAGCATGAAGCGATAGAAGGAAAAAGTCCGTCACACATTTAAATCAAGACCCCTTGCCAAGATGTCTCATAGTTACGGTACCTACCAGGTTTTGTCTACGGACGAACTACTTATTAGCATGGATTTAGAGACGCCGACGCCAAGATCACTAAAACCCGCATGAAAAACTCACGGCTCTAAAGATCTCATTTAAAGAAACTCTATGCTATGAGACAATTTCCGTCAAAAATGTCGATGCTTTGCTTTGTTGGCATGAAGTTACACCGCCCTTTGTAGCGATTCGTGTTGTCCTCCGAAAGATGGCCGCGCAAAAGACGGCCCTAACGTGTTCGCCGGCCCGACGAGCCACATCGGCCAACGAGCCACCCCAACATCAGACGCATATGCAACCCACCGTTTTTCACACTAAACTTCTTAACTACTATAAGCCCTGTTAATAATATAATCAATACAATTAAATCTCGTAAACCTAGCACTTTATTTTTATATTATAATTATTGGAACGAGGTCCCTCCAGTAATATGACTACCACAGGTTACCAAGTGAGAGGGACAAGGCAGGGTGGTTGTAACGTATTGTATTGACTGTCGTGTTGTCCAGTGTCACAGACTTAGGCTGTTGTGGTGGGTGCTATTGCCCACCGGGCAGTGCCTGCCACACCAGCATATCATGTGACTCTCAAGCACCTTCTACCCTGGACTGAACCCAGATATTCTCAACAGATACAAGTAATACTTTAAGCTACTTTATTTTAAAATAACTAAAAGATTACAATATTACACCTAACCCTAACCCATTTACCAGTGTACGCGCACAGGCACAGTACTAGCTTAATTATCTAACACTCCGTACAAATACGGCCAAACAGACATAGCTATTCCTCTACCCTTATTATCTATAAAAAAGACTAAACTCGGCTTCTTTCAACAGATCGAGCTACTACTAGTATTTGTAGCTGCTAATGCCCTGCTTGCCTTTAAATAACCCATTACCCTGTTTCCAAGCCTATTTAGGGGATCGTTTCGAAACTAACACAGATCCTTAAAAATTGTTCATGCTCAAATTCGTCCGTTCTAGCGCTATGCACCTGCCACCACATCCCCATGCTCCGGAGAGCCATCGGAGACGGACCGAAAGAAGGATAATTGCGGCAGGGAACGGGAACGTCTAGAGACATCTAGCGCTAATTAAAATCGGATAGTTAGCTGTAAGCGGTTTGCATTCACGGGATTTTAATCATGTAATGAACAACAACGCTTAGAAATATATCAAGAGAGTAAATTGACTGAATTGCGCCTAACTGATAATTGGGTTTCACAATTGTTAAGGTGACAAATAATGTGTAATGCGTTCTGCTGACGAGTAACATGAAAATGCAAAATCGGGCCGTGCTGAGCGTTAGACAGGCTAACCCTACCAAAGTGTTCCGTTTCAAACCCTATTATAGAAATAACCAACTAAAGAACCCATACAGCGCATCATTTACAACTCGTCAGTACCTCTTGCATTAAGGGATATTCCGTAGCCGTTTTAAGCTTAGTTAAGAGCGATCAACCACGGTTATGCCAATCCCCCTATTCTCGTATCGCTTCCGTACAAATGCCGCACCTTCTGTACGTTTAGTAAATCATCTCATCCTCTAAGCCTCTTACTTTCATTAGTCAATCCAGTCAATCTATTTCCACCTCTCCACTAAGATTTATACACTCTATTTTTACATCTACACCCACTCTTCTCTTTTTCACTATGAAGACCACCTCTACCGTCATTGCCTATGTGGCGTTGCTTTCTGGTGTACTTGCGATAGACTTTAGTGGTTACTCTCCTCAAAAAGGAGTTCAGGCCGAATTCGAGCCATTCCTCAAAGCGTTAGTCAACACAGTACTCACATAAGATCGTAGGAGATGACTGACAAACCCTCAGACTCGTAACGGCTGCCGAAGATCCAGCTGCAACGACTGAATACACAGATTACTTCACCAAAGATGGCATGCAGACCACCCTAACCATCCACTGTGTAGGAGCCGCAGCAATCACAAAATGCAAGAACGGATTTTTGCCCACCGACGGCAGCAAGAAGTTAATTGTAAGTCTGTCCATCATGTGGAAACTAGTCAAAAATTCTAACTTACGCAGCATTACCCTACTATTGTTTCAATTTTTGATAACAATGCCACGGCTACGGTATATGACTCTGAAGGCCGAATCGAAAATACTTTCGTAGGAGGAAATTGTTCGCAAATTCAGTGAGTTTCCCTACACCATTCCCGCACAATGTCTTCTTCCTACATTCAATACTGAACAGCTTTCTTATCGCCTGTTTCGATAGGAATACTCTTTGCTAATAGGTCTTAGGTACAAAACTCGTTACACCGTGCTCAAGACTACGGAAGGCGAGAACGAGCCGCCGAATTTGACGCCTAAGCCACAAGGCCAAGTGTACTGGTACCACGATTACGTCGTAATCCCAACCAATGTTCCTAGCAGCATCCCATGCGATAGCGAGAAGAGCAGTACAGCAAAGCGAGATCTTCCTGTAATTTTTGAGGCGTAAAGACGTTGGATTCTATAGACAAATTGGGAAACAATGAATTCATTCTATATTTTTAAAAGTGTCAAGAGGTAGTCATATATAAAGAATTTGCTGTTTCTACTTAAGCTAACGTGAGCCACATGCGAGTCAGTGAAATAAGTGAGTTAGTTACCTCTTTTTACTAAGAAAAACCAATAATCTACACCTTTATATCTTAATAACTACTTATTATTGATAGCTAAAACTCACTCGCTTATGTGACCAACTCCCATGTGGCTCACGTTATTGTTACCTGTAAATAGCAAACACGCGCAATTAAAGCAATAGAATTCAGACGACTAGCCGAGTAACACAAGTTGATGTCTAATTAAGTTGACTAGAGCTACCAGCACTGGTGAAGTTTAAAGCCGAGATGTCGGCAGTCTTCATCTGCTGAAACTGGAACTGCACTGCCATCATCTGTCCCGCATTTCGGGCACACCTGGCCCCAAATCCGCTGCAGGTAACTGACACGCAGATACGTGCATGCGCAACTGTAGTCTCCAGCCTTCTTCTGAACCTCGCTAACTCCCCACCAGACCTGTAGCGGTTTGTACCCTCTCCTCTCCCTGCGTTGCTGCCTTCGCAACAAAGGAGCAAGCTCGCACATGCTTTCTGCAATATCCTTTCGCCTGAACAGAAGCGCGAAGCCATGGTCACGAACGGCAGCAGACGCGTTCATGTGCGAGTACCCGATCCTAACCTCAAGGGTCTGCAGCGATAGCACACGCTTCTTGAGCAGGCTTGCAACGCGACAGAGGCACATGCGAACCGCCGCAGCGGTAATGTCGGTCATTATAAGATCAACTCTGATGCGACGGAAATGGAGCATGTCCAGCGACCATTTCTGGACAAGGTCACTGAAATCACCCTCGACAGAAGTAACCGTTATCACGAGGATCTTGGTTCTGTGCAGAGTATCCAAAGCTTCTGCCTGAACTTGCCTGCAGACTCGGAGTATGCTCGGCGTGTGAAGCATGGGCAGCGGGCCTAACGCGGGCAGAGAGATATTGCGGTACTATGGCCAGCCTCTCTTGCTGTACAGTCGCCTCAGAAGTAGGCTTTTCGTGTAGATGCGGCTATGGCTGGTTCCTTGCCGTTCATCCAGAAGTGTGTAGTCGTACATGTTGTCCCTGACTTCGCGCGGCGGTAGCCGCAGGAATTGCCGGAAGTCGAACGTCGTGTTCAACGCTCTGCCTACGTCGCTTGTAGGCGATATACGGTGCTTTGCGAGTCGGTTGGTGCGTGTATTGATCATCCGGTGCGTTGCTAGAGACAGAGGCGATGAGCGCCACCAGGTCCTAAGCTCCCAATCGTAGACAATCTCGAAGTGATTGCTCAGAACGTATGTCGATGCCCAGGGCCACCACAGCAGCGACACGGAAGCGATCCATCGACCGTATCCTGCAAGCCCCCGAAAGCAGGAGTCGCTTCGCGCGCCTCCAAAGGCTCACGCCACATGTTATCGGCTCGACTGTCCACGTCAAGTTCGACTACTTCTACGGGCGATCGGTTTTTCGAGACGGATGCGGCGACGCAGATGGGAGTGGGCGACTTTGTCATCGAAGGCGACATGGCGTCGGACAAGAAAGCCTCGTGGGGCAATGTGAAAGAGCCGCGCGGGGTGCAGGTGCTGGCCTGGGGCGGGCTCTCGAACGTTGTGTGTGAAGAGGTCCTCGGATGCAGCAGCGAACGCCTCTACACAGTTTGGTTGTCGATGAGGGAGGGCCAAGTGCGCAACGGGCAGTTTGGAAGCAACGTCGTCGCTGCCATGTTCATTACATGTGGGCAGGACGCCGTGAGCGTGGCAGAGGCCTCCTGGAGCCACCTGACCATGGAGTACAACAGAGAGACAAAGAGCCTCAAGCTGTCGCTGTTCTTCCTGTCTCTGCCTGTCGGTGTTGTTGGCGGCGGAACCGCGCTACGCGGCGCAGAAGGCGTCGCTCGAGCTGCTGAAATGCACGGGCCCGGGATGAAGCGACCCCTCGCTGGGCTGACAGCCGCTTTCGCTCTGGCGCTGGACGTGAGCACTTGTGCCGCCATGGCCAGCGGGACGTTTACAGGAAACCACAAGCGGCTCGCCAGGGGGGGGAGGCTAGCGCATCGCCAAAGCTGTGAGGTAGTCGTAGGTACCTAGCCGGCTTCTACGCTTGCTTTTCGAAACACTGCATTGCGTTGACTAGAGACCTTGTTCCCCTTGCGGAGGGGCCGGCAAGACGAGGCAGAGATTGACGTTGATACCAACACCAACACCGACACCGACACCGACACCGACACCGACACTAATACCGACACCGATACCGATGCCGATACCTAGAATTAGCATTCGGCTTTACCGGCCTTCGTCAAAGTCCGCCTTAGCAATTTCCCGCTAAAAGCAACGTAATAAGTCATTTCTGTTGAGAATATGTTGCAGTGAATGCAATCAATCAAAGTGTAACGGCGCGAGGCAGTAAGCAGTATATTGTGTATCTGCTGTCTTCTCGTGTTCTGTCTGCTCGCTTTTCTACGAAGGCAGCAGCAGGGTCTGTTTACATGACGTATCACCATGACGTATCACCATCACGTGACACACGTGATACACGTGATCCGCTTATCCTCATAACCGCCACAGAATATCTGAGTTCAGTCCAGGGTAGAAGGTGCTTGGGAGTCACATGATATGCTGGTGTGGCAGGCACTGCCCGGTGAGCAATAGCACCCACCACAACAGAGTGAGTCTGTGAGACTCAACACTAGACTCCGCAACAATCAATTCAATCCGGTCACTCTCCTAGACCCACTTACCTATCTAGGTAGGGCTTAAACTCCTATAGGTAACTACTAGGCTTAAAGCGGTAATCAATCAATCCAATCTGAACCTTCTAGGACCCACTTAATTGATTGTTGCGGACTGTGCATTCGGGTGCACTCTCCGCTCGCTGGCCTCGCTGAGCAGCTGATAAGCCGATGCTTTATTGACTGTTACAACGGCGCGACCGTCTCTTTTGCAGAGAGACGTGTGCCGCTCTGAGGCCAGCACTACCCTTGCCTTGGTCTGCCGAAAGATCTCCTCGTGCCGACTTGCTGGATGCTCTGGGTCGAGAGGTGCGAACGCCCCGCCAGCCTTAAGCACAGCGAGCATTGCTACCACTGTCCACATCGACTTTTCAAAGCAGAGGGGGACAATAACTTCTGGCTTGACTCCCAGTTCAACTAGATGGCCGGCTATCCTAGAGGACAGCGCGTCCAGCTCGCCGTACGTCATCTCGCCATCCCACGCGCAGATAGCGGGCGCAGTGGGCCGTGCCATTGCCTGCTCCATAAACAGGTCGTGCACACACCGCACCACCACTGCTGGGACCTTGGCGTTCTATCCCCATAGCTGTTGTCTGTCTTTGGAGCTAAGTATATTGATGTCGGCAATTGTTGTTCTAACGTCAGCTTCCGCCATCTGTTTCATGACGAAGCTGAACTGGCCTATTATCTTCTCTACCTGCCATCGCTCTATCGCTCTTGAGTCGAAACTAGCTGTGATCTGAACTCCTTCTACCGCTAGTGTGCACTGCACCGTTAACGCATACGTCGTAAAGTCCTGTAGCTCTGAACGACTATGCCATTTCCCTAGCTCTTTATTCATCTCCAGATGGCTATTAGCTGGCTGCACTACTACTAGCGTCTGAAAGCTGCAGGCGTGCTGTGCATCAACTCCCATCTTGGCGATCCGCTGCAGTCCTGTTTGCTCATATGGAATCATCTCGGTCGCTTGCTGCTGCACTGTATCAAGAAGAGCTCGCACAGTTAGTTCCTTCTGAAAACGCACACGCACTGGTACTGTCGCAATAGTAGGTCCTAGCATAGCCTCAATTCCAGGGACTGGTGCGTTCCGGCCTATTACTGTTACCCCGAAGACAACATCATCTGAGTTAGTATAGTTCCCAGTGACAATAGCCCACGCAGCGCGGATTAGCGTCGACATAGTTGTGTTGGATATCGTCTTAGGGAGTGGCGGGCACTGGTATTCTAGCATTGCATCCGCAACAGGCTGCTGTACTGATGACGATAGCGGTGGGAATACAGTCCCTTTGCAGTCGGCAAGCGTGGCTTGCCAGTACTTCGTGATCGCCTCCTGATTTTGCTGGCCAAGATGCTGGATGAAGGCGTTGAATCCAGTGGGCTTCTCGACTGCATTCTCTCGGTACGCCCTCCCAACCGCATTTAGGATGCGTGGCAGAGACCAGCCATCGTACAAAGTGTGGTGAATGGTCCACACAAACCAGCGCTTCTCGCCCTCGCGTTCCTTAACAAGTGCATAGCGCGCTAGAAGGTCGCCCAGCTGCATTGTTATAGACTTATCCTTCGCGAGGTACGTTTGCAGGTCATTAAACTCGGCCCACTGTATGCCTTCTGCAACGACAGCCTGAAACAGGCCCAGCATACTGTGCTGCACGATCCGGGTACGCAGCACGGCTGATGACAGGATCACCTGCTCCCACGCTGCCCGGAAAGCGCCTTCATCTATGTCGCTATGCAGCTCTAGCACGCTCTGCATGATATAGTTGCCTGTTCGCCTCGACGTTAGTGACATTAGACCCTCCTGTAGAGGTGAGCACGGGTAGACGTCTTCAATCAGACTTGAGTCTACATTGCAGCTTGCGGCAATCTCTTGGCATACTTGCACAACATCCAGGCTGGGATCTAGTAGAGAAAACGGAGCAATGTCGCTACCAAGGGTAGGAGCGCATTGGCTAGTCAAAGCTGCCAGATCGACCAGCGTGGGATACTGAAAGATGTTCGCGACCGTGAGTCCTACTCCTTCCTCTCGAGCCATGGCCACCAGCTTCATGGCGGTGATGGAGTCGCCGCCAAGGTGGAAGAAGCTGTTGTCCAGGCCAATGCGGCTCGCCTCGATAACTAGCACCTGTGCCCACAGCTGCTGCATCGTCCGTTCGGCCTGTGTCTCTGGCTGCCGCTTCGCGTCTTGAGTGCCTGTTATCTGGAGCGGTGTTTTCTGAGCGAGCGCCTTTCGATCCACCTTGCCGTTCTCGTTGATTGGGAGCTTTTCAAGAATGTGAATGGACTGCGGGGCCATGTATGCAGGGAGTTGGAGTCGCACAATTTCTTCGAGTTGGTGTTGCACTTCTTTGATAAACTGCTGCTGCAACGGTCTGTTGCTGAATGTGTGCTGTGGTCGATCCGCGTGGTCGCTAGGGAACTCGAATAGCACTCGAGACGCTTCATCACCAGGCTGACGACGGTAAAAGATGCAGTCTAGCCCCCCGCGCTGAGAGTACTGTCTGCTCCAGCTGATCTCTACACAGCAGCCAGCTTCTTCAGCCACATTGACTAGGTCTGTAGCGGAAAGACACGGTGTTTGCTCTGCTTGCTGGCGAACCGAAGAAATCCACTCCTTCTGGGCTGGCGCTTTGTCGTTCAGGGAGCCTAAGAGGCACCGACTGAAGATGGCCTTACTATGAGGAATATTGTTGACGGCTATGGTGTGCGCGCTAGAGAGATTCTCCAGTCGTCGCAATAGAGATGAACGATCCAGTTTCTGCTTCTCAAAATCAAGCCATTCGCTTTCGTGGACACGTCGCGCCTCTTTGCATAGTGTCTTTCCATACTTCGTGTGAACGATTGCGGTGTACCGGTAGCAGCTTAGCTCGTTAGTTGCCTTCATCCTCTTAGGCTGAATCTCTACGTGCTCAACAAGGTTGGGTAGACGACTCGGCAAAGAGGTAAAAAACCCAGGATCGATCAGCAGCTCGCGCTCAACCTGCTCCATGTCTTCTAGCATGCGTTGAATTTCTTCTTTGCTCGCCCTGTTACCCGCAATCCGCAGTGCCCTCGTCGCCAGGAACTCTCGGTGCAGCGCATGAGATCGGATGTCGCCAAAGAACAGCATTTTCATGCCATCAACATGAAGCAGATCTTCCACTACCCGGAACAGATATTCTTGGCTGGGGAAGTACTGCACGACTGAGTTCAGAATAGCCAGATCGGCCTTGAAGGGCCGTTCTATGCGACTAGTGTCTGTTGCTGTGGCCTTGTACATGCGCACCTTGTTCGTAAGCAAAGGGGTGCACCTAGCCGTCTCCGTGATGAATCTGACTGCCTTCTCAGACGGATCGAGCCCCACGTAGCTCTGCAGGCCATTACTTAGGTTGAAGAGAAGCATCCCAGTACCTGAGCCGATCTCTAGGATGTGCCCTGGCTGGCCGTTAGTAACTGCATAGATGGCACGAATGGTGTCGTCTAGCCACTCGTTCATCTCGGCCTTGTCAATGTTACTCCCATCGTACATGGATGTCCATCCAATGAAGTCTCTTCCATATAGTCTCAGAATCAAAGCGCTCTTCCTATGCGTTGACATGCTGCAGCTGGCTTTTGTCCTCAACCTGATCGTCCGTCATTCTGGCTTCTTGATTGAGTGTGACGTAGCCAAAGAGTCCCTGGGTGCTGTGGTCTTTCTGTGCCAACACCACTGCGGCATCGCGCACGCATCTGTGGCTACAAAGGACGTTCTCGATCTCTCCAAGCTCAATGCGGTGGCCTCTGATCTTGACCTGCCCATCAATACGACCAAAGAATTCAAGTTGCCCATCTGTGGGTCGCTGCCGTACGTAGTCGCCCGTTCGGTAGGCTCGCATAGTAGTGTTGCCGACAGTGACTGTAACAAAGCGGTCGATGTTGCGCTTAGGGTCTGTGTATCCTCGCGCAACACCGTCTCCAGTTACCACTAGCTCGCCAATGGTACCAAGTGGCACAAGCTGCTGCTCAGCATCCATGACATAGGCGCCCGAGCTACTGATAGCTCTGCCGATAGGCACACCATTTACACACCTCTCGTCTTCGGTCAAAATATATAGCGTGCTTATGGCTGAATTCTCAGTCGGCCCATATGCGTTGGCTACCTTACTCTTTACCAAGCTCTGTGCTGCGAACATGTCTCCTGGATCAGCTCGGTCTCCGCCTACAAGTAGCACATCAAGTGTGCCAATTGTGCGCGGAGATGCGGCTAGAGAGTGCTTGAGGAGAGCAGGGGTGAAGATGGCGACCCGGATACTGTGTCGAGTAAACGCTTCGAGTAGGGCATCCTGGTCCAGCACAGTAGTAGCATCGATGCAGACGAGTCCCGCCATTTAGGAGACAGGTGTATATCTCCCACGACGATCCGTCAAACGCAAGGTTGGCCATATGTGCTGTAGCTTTGGTTGATCGGAAATCCGCCATGCGATCATGTTGTGCCATGCGTACAATGCCGCGATGCTCTACCATGACCCCCTTAGGCTGACCAGTCGAGCCCGACGTGAATATAATGTACGCCAGGCTGGTGGCAAACGGTCTGAGAGTGGAATTGCCTTCCAAGGCACGCCGTGTGAGACTATTGTCGGTGGCCTCGTTCAACATGTCGGCAATGCGTACAAACTCGACGTCTGTCAATCTAAGAAAAGGGGCCTCAACATCCATGCCAACTAGTAAGAGCTTCTGTCCCGAGAAGGATGATAGGATAGATTCAATCCGCCTTGCTGGTGCTTGCGTATCAAAAGGCATGTAGGCCAACCCTGCCTTTAGAATGCCAAGAAAGGCGACAATCGTCTCGCAGCGTCGAGTTGCAAATACGCCGATTGCAGTTTCGGGAGTCAAAACCCTCGCCGCGAGCGTCTGAGCGATTCTGTCTGACTGCGCGTCTACTTGGGCGTAGGTCATCTCTCCAGATGTATCTTTGACCGCAACCTTAGCAGGCCACGCAGCAACTTGCTCCCGGAAGACGTCGACGATACTTGACTCTCGAGAACATGTCTTGTATTCTACTTGAAGCAGCTCCATCTGGTTCAGCTGAGCGTATGCCTTGTCGGTCATAAGTCGCGTTGACGCAATCTTTGTCTCGGGTTCGGCGAGACACTGGTCGAGCAAGCTCTCTAAAACAAACGCTAGGCATGATATCGTCTCAGCGGCGAAGAGGTCTTCTGAGAAGTATATGTAGCCCTGCAGGCCGCTCTGCTCTTGGAAGAAGTGAAACTCGAGATCAAACCGTGACATAGTAGAGAGCTTGTCGGCCATAGGGCTTATCCCTTGGCTCCTCTTTGGGCAACCAGGCAGCCACCTATTTACCCGCTAGTACCTTTACGGCCTAGCTCCTTCTCTCCTCCCACTGCGTATATAGACCTCTTCCCGATAGCTCTAATACGACATGATGATTCTCCCAAACCTTGACGCTTGACAGGTTATGAGCCCTCACCCGCTCCCGTAGTCGCTCACGATAATTCTATTAGATATTTTGACGACCCGCGCGCCTCATCACGATCATCACCCTCCCCGCAAAACAGCTCGGTGACGTCGCAATCGCGCGCCACTTTAGCAATCGTGACCCCGCAACTTGCAGCTCATCGATCGCTTGGACGACGACGAGCTCCTCGCTGCTCACCGCCAAAAATCGCTAGCCGAACGGTCTTCGACGTCCGCCGCGATGGCAACTTACACCTCCTCCACAGCTGTCACAGCGCGCCTTGCAGCCGACGGCAAAAACTGGAAGGACTGGATTAAACAACTCATCAATTACGCAGCCGCCGATGGCGCTGTAGCCGTCCTAGATGGCGCTCCGCGCCCAGAATTTGACGCTACAGACGACAAATATCGCATTACCGCCATGCAGCGCCCGATCACTCATCCATTAGGCACCTCAACAGACGTTATCCAAGCCGAGCTTGACCGTGTCGGCAAACTCAACAAGACTATAGGACCGTTCAACAATGAGGCTCGACAGCTACTTAAAGAGGACAAGCTTGCGCTTGACTCATGGGTCGCCCGAGATGCCCGACTCCAAAACACCATACTCTCATCCATTGACAAGCCTCTCGTAGCTCAGGTGCGCACTTGCCCCACCGCCCACGATATGTACAAGGCTCTCAAGGACCTAAACAGCAACGGTGACTACGCCAATGCTGCTCTCGCGTGGACTGCCTTCATCGACCTCCGCGCTGAGACCCAACCCACAGTCCGCAGCTATATTGGAAAGTTTCGCGAGACAATTAATGACATCACGGTACAAGGCATCACACTTGGATGGAAGAAGCCTTCAGCAGTACCTGGTACATCCGCCGACCGCGACATCGAAGACCTGCTCATCATCCACTTCCTTCACGGCTTAGCTCGTGTACTCCCACAGTGGGTAGAAGCTCGCAATAACGACCTCCGCCAAGGCCATACATGGTCTATCGACACGCTCGTCGCGTCACTCGAGGATCACCTACGCCATGCCCCAGATGAGCCCGTGAAGACTTTCCTCTCCGTCTCTAAACAAGCGGAGGAGAAGCGCGTTCTCACACGCCTAAATGGCCGCGGCAATGGCAACAACAGCAACCAGAACTCTACTCCTACTCCTTCGTCTCTGCCGACGCGCAATAACAACCAACAGAAGCGTACTCCTCAGCCTGTTGGAATGTGCGATCACTGCAAGCGAGAGCACCCAGGACCTAATGAGCTTTGCTGGAAACTTCACCCTTCTCTCACCCCAGATAATGTTAAGAAGCGCACCGCAGACAATGCCGCTAAGAAGGCCGCAGCTGCAGCAGCTCGTACAAACGTTACAGTGGCCAAGAACAGCAACGACGACGATGCTGATCAGTACGATGCTCACTCATACGTGACAGTCGCCACCTTCGTCTCTCCGACTCTCCTCAAGAAGGCAGTCTCCAATCACGACTATCAACAGCGGTACTGCTACGACACTGCCGCTAACCGGCACGTCTTCAATAACCGCTCGAAATTTTACGAATACGCTCCAATCGACAATGACGTACACGGCTCTACCGGATCAACCACCGCCGCCGGCGTTGGCACTGTACGCCTTGAAGTCGTCAAAGCCGACGGAACAACAGAGAAGATCTCACTCCAAAACGTCCTCTACTGCCCCGATTTCGCCACCAACGTCATCTCCCAAGCTCCATTCAAGCGCGCGGGAGTGTGGTATCACTCGGGCAAGGACAAATTGTACACTGCCTCAGATGAGGAGCTAGCTTACTTACCAGAGATCGACGGTATACCCAACTTTCTCGTAGTTACAGAATCCTCCAAGGCGCCGGCCGCTCTCTCATACGCCTCTCTTGTTTGCTATCGAAGCTCTGCCGATGAGCCCTCATCCTCACGGCCAGCCACCGACTGGCATCATATCATGGGACACGCTGGAATAGACGCTATTAAGGACACTGCAAAAGTTGTACATGGGATGAAGCTCACTACTTCTACCGTCACCAACTGCGAGCCCTGCGGCCTCTCCAAATCAAAGCGAAATATCTCTCGAATTCAACAAACTCCACCCAATACAGCGCTTGGCAAGGTCCATGTCGATGTCGTCGGCCCCATCACTATACCTGGAAAAGATGGAGAGCGTTACTTCATGCCTATCACGGATGGCAAGTCACGCCGACAGTGGCTATTCACATCAGACAGCCGCGCTGTACTAGGCCAACAGCTTATTAATTGGTGCAAAGCTATGAAGGCCAAAGGCTTTACCATCACTATCCATACCGACAACGCTCGCGAGTTTATTAACGCCAGCAACAAGCAGTACTTCGATAGCGTGGGCATCGAGGTAGTTACGTCACCACCTTATGATGCCACTCGCAATGGTATTGCAGAGCGCGCCAACGGTATCACAGAGGATCGAACTCGCGGAGCTCTTATTGCAGCCAAGCTTCCTATAAAGCTGTGGCCCTACGCAGCCAAATATATGGCCCGCATTCACAACCTCGTCTCCAACAGCAACCTCCCAGGAAAGATCACTCCTTTAGAGGCCTGGAATCGCTCTATAGGCTACCCAAACCCAGTCCCAAACGTCGCCAAGATGCACGCTTTCGGCCATGTTGGATACGCCCATATACCCGCCCAGAAGCGCGTTAAAGGTGACAAATTTGCACCTCGTGCTCACAAGGGCCACCTCGTCGGTATGATCGGCGAGAACATCTACCAGATGTGGATCCCAGAGACTGATGAGATCGTTACCACCGCCTCCGTGCGGTTTGATAGCTACGACTCACCCTCCACTCCTCCATTGTCTCCCATCATCGGCCCTTCACCATCACCGAAGGTGCTCCCATTTAAACCTCTCATCAACCGCCTCGCCGACGCCGCTACAACTCCACCCGCTCCTCCGCAAGATGGTGATGGCGGCGATTTGGACAATCATCAGCTACCTCGTGCTGATGGCGGAGATGGCTTTGATGGTTTCGAGGATGATGATGAAGCTCCACCAGCTCCTCCAACCCGTGGTAACAACAAGGCAGCGCGTCGACATGAGATTAACGCGGACCTCAACCCAGCTCATATCATACACGGCCCTCGCAATCGCCGGGCACGTGCTTTCTTCACTTCATCTACTTTTGATCGCTGCTTCGCCATGGCTCTCGTCAAGCCCACTCTCGGCTCAAAGCTTTCAGAACTTCCACCGGAGCCTCGCAACTATCGTCAGTTTCTCAAACATCCTCGCCGCGATGATCTACAACTCGCAATGGACGATGAGTACAACGCTCTTATCGCCAACGGTACTTGGCGCCCTGCTACGGCAGAGGAGATTGCCAAGTATGAGATCATCCCAGGTCAATGGGTGTGGACGTATAAAGGCAACGCTCAAGGCTATCACGTGAAAGACAAGGCTCGCATGGTGGCTTGCGGCAACAAGCAACAAGAATCAATTTGGTACCGCGAGGTTTACTCCTACGTCGTCCGAACTTCTACGCTCCGCATCCTCCTCGCCCTTGTGGCTTACTTCGATCTAGAGTGTGAGCAGATCGACATGATTACTGCTTACCTCAACGCTCACCTCGACGACGATGACGTTGTCCTCCTTCGCCTGCCCGCAGGCTGTACTGGCTTTGGGAATATTGTTCGCCTTCGCCGCGGCATGTACGGCCAGACTTGCTATCAGTCAGGTAACTCAGTTCGAACTGACTGAACTGACTGCCAAGACTCAGTTCAGTCAGTCAGTTCTTGAGGCAGCTGGACGTCAGTCCAGTCAGTTCAGAAGCCTCCAGACTGACTGAACTGACTGACGTTAGACTGACGTTAGCTGTTTTTAAAGCAGTATTTTAGAGTTGTGAAAGCCACATTTAGTGCGGCTTCGAAGCCGCGCTAGTCCTAGATATAAAGACACTAATCCTATATAAGTTAAAGCATCTAGCTTTAAGCTAATTAGAGTTTGCGGAAATGCGCTACCCGGTGCGCACCTAGTAAGCCTTTCGCGTCGCGTCGCGTCGCGTCTGCTATACACACGACGCTAGACTACTGTTGCCATAATACTTCTTGGTGTACTTCATGTCTACTCCCTCTAATTCAGGCCTTCGCCGCCTTGTAGAATGCGACAAGCGCAATTCTCCTCTACCATCGCTATCAAACGCGCCTACTGTTGGCGATACTGCGAGCGAGGCCCAGGCTGATGAGCCCTTGGCAGTACAGGCGGGACTTTCCCCAACGACGGCGACGACGACGACGACGACGACAATTACCGACGGGGCTTGATTTTAAGCGTGTGCCGTATCTTGAGCGGCGCCAGGTTGAGCGTAATAGTCCGCGGTGGGCCAAAAAAGCTGGGATCTACCGCCACGGGCTGGGCCGTCTGGCACCGCAAGTACAAGAAAAACTACTGGCTTTGCCCGGTACTGCCATCAACGACGGAAGCAGGAGGCTTGTTCGGGGGCTGACACCCCTACAAACCCCCGGCCGACCCCTCTCAAGCAACAAGCCGGGACACTCACACGGACCTAACGGACCTGTACCAATTGCTAGCCGGGAGGGCAATATTATGGGCGCGCTCGCAAAGTCCCAAGCACATA